CTGAGTAGCTGGGACTACAAGCGTGTGGTACCATTCTCGGCTAATTAAGTAGAGACAGGGTCTTGCTCTTGCTCAGGATGGTTTGAACTCCTGAACTCAAGTGATCCTCCCACCTCAGCCTCCCAGAGTGTTAAGATTACAGGCATGAGCCACTATGCCTGGCCTCTCTTTCTCTCTTTCCTTTCTTCCTTCTCTTTCAAGATGGGAGTCCATGCTCTATTGCTCAGGCTGGAGTACAGTGGCACGATCATAAATCATGGCATATATTTACTTAATTTAAAATGAAAGATTAGGCCGCGAGGTGGCTCACGCCTGTAATCCTAGCACTCTGGGAGGCCAAGGTGGGAGGATCACTTGAGTTCAGGAGTTCAAGACCATCCTGAGCAAGAGCGAGACCCTGTCTCTACTATAAATAGAAATAAATTAATTGGCCAACTAATATATATAGAAAAAATCAGCAGAGCATGGTGGCGCATGCCTGTAGTCCCAGCTACTCGGGAGGCTGAGGCAGTAGGATTGTTTGAGCCCAGGAGTTTGAGGTTGCTGTGAGCTAGACTGATGCCACGGCACTCACTCTAGCCTGGGCAACAAAACGAGACTCTGTCTCAATAAATAAATAAATAAAATGAAAGATTAAAAAAGAGAGAAGCCAGGTGCAGTGGTTGAAGTCTGTAATCCCAGCTACTTGGGAGGCTAGGGTGGTAGAACCACCTGGGCCCAGGAGTTTGAGACCAGCTGGGTGATATAGTGAGACCCCCATCTCTAAAAAAAGAGAGAGAGAGAGAGGCTGGCCGCAGTGACTCGCCTGTAATACTAGCACTTTGGTAGGCCAAGGCTTGAGGATCACTTGAAGCCAGGAATTTGAGACTAGCCTGAGCAACAGTGACACCCTGTCTTTACAAAAACACTTAGCCAGGCATGGTAGGCAGCTACTCAGGAGGCTGAGACAAGATCTCTTGACCCCAGGAGTTTGAGGTTGTAGTGAGCAATGATGGCACTGCACTCCAGGCTGGGTGACAGAGTAAGACCCTGTCTCAAAAAAAGAAAGTGAAATGAAAAAAAGCTACAATTCAGATTAGTTTCAAAACATGAATAATATTATTAGGAATCAGATAAAAGTGGGAAGCTTAGAGGGGCAATATAAAAAGCAAGATCACTCGTTTTTCTTCTAGGTTGGACTCTTCACAGAAATTGGGCCCATGTCTTGCTTCATCTCCCGACACGTAAGTCTAGGCATTCTGAGTAGGGCTAAGCGCACCCATTCACGGCCATCTATTGAAACATCCATTTAAAGTGCTGACCCAGTCTCACTTTCCTTTCAGTCCATCCCATCAGAGATGGAGTTTGATCCTAACTCCAACCCACCATGTTACAAGACAGTGGATGAGGTGAGTGGTCAGGAAGAAGTCAGTGAGAGGGAGGAAAGAGTCGGCCACTGTGAGGGAGAATATTGGCCTGGGTCGGAGCACAGCCGGTCCCCAATTTACAATGGTTTGATTTATGGTTTCTCGACTTTGATGGTGGCAAGCTGACATGCATTCAGTACATTTGGTTATCAGGAAGTAATTCCATTGTAAGTGAAGGAGCATCTCTACACTGTTCCTTCCTCTCCCCAGGACATTGTGATTCAGCAGGATGATGAGATCCGCTTGAAGATTGTGGGGACCCGTGTAGACAAGAATGACATCGTGAGTCTCTTCCTGCCTTCCCGCCTGTACCAGGCAGAGCTGAGAGCTGTTGTTTTTTTGCCACATACAGTTTCTGGGGATTTTATGCTCTTCTGCCAGGAAGAAGGGATGGGCGGGCCAAAGGCCTGGGGTTGCGGGGAGAAGGATGGTTCTGTGCTTGCCTTGGCTCCATTTCCTTTTTGCCTTCCCTCCTGCAGTTTGCTATTGGCTCCCTGATGGACGATTACTTGGGTGAGTGCCTGATTGTACCTGCCAGGGCCATTGCCTGGGAGAAGGGGTATGTGGGGGTGGGGAGCAGATACAGGATTTAATGCCTGAGTCAGAAATGTAAGAACTTTCATGCTGTCTGCTTGGAAGATCCAGGACATGTGCCCTGCCCTTGGGATGGGAAGTACATGGTTGTGGTTGCCTCCAAACTCTAACTGATGTGCTTTTTCTGTTTTCCCAGGGCTTGTGAGCTGAGCACGGGGGCCTCCTACCTTGAGTCCTAATCTAGGAAGTATAACTGTCACATTTACTGTGTTGTCCAGAGGCCCAGTCTGGCTGCTGTTAGGGAGGCAAGGAAGGTACCTTGTCCCCAGAAGACATCTGGCACTCCTTTGGCTTAGCTGCTGCTCCCAGCTTTTTGACTATGTGTTTTCACCATAAAGTGTTCTTAGTTCTCATGGAAGTGTTATCTTTTTCTGGTAGGAGCAGCTCTTTTTTTAAAAACGCTGTGGGGTCTATTGCTCACTAGCCCTGCTTCTCCTTAGCCTGATGACTAGCCTCAGCTACCCATGGGTCTTGACTAACCTGTTTGCCACTGTCTAAAGTTGACCTCATAGAAGGCAAGGCTCTTATGTTGGGTCTTCAGCTTTCAGCAAATGATACCATCATTGGTGCCAATCTGAATCCTAATCTAGTTCCAGAGTGTTTGCCTTCCCCTGCCCTTAAAAATAACCAAGAGTAGCTTATGCCTTTGGAGGACTACTTGAAGCTAGGAGTTCAAGACCAGCCTGGGCAAAATAGTGAGACTTCATCTCTTTAAAAAAAGTAACCAAGAGTATAATTGGGAAAGAGGGGAGCGGAGACAATAGATAGAGAAAAACAAGAGTCTAATAATGATACAGATTATGAGGTCCTAACGTAGCCCTTCCTTTGATGGGCATATAAACACAGGGTCCTTTATTTGCTAATTAATCAGTATATTAAACTGAACTGAAGATGTGAAAGGTGTTACTCTAACTAGATGTGCCCATAATCTAGGTAGGGTAACACAAAAATACATGAAATACCTACAAGATTAAACAAACATGCTATTGTTCCCTCACACTTATATCTTTGCAATACTATTTGTCTACCTTGGAATGCCCTTTCCCAGTTTGTCCACTTGCTATCTACTAATCTATCAAATCTCAGTTCAGTTATGGTCTCCACCCCACCAGATTTCCTTGACTGACTTGGGAAGTGGAGCTGTGTAGTAGAAAGCAAGAAAACATGGTATATGAATTGATACAGAGCTGGCTTCCATTTTAGCTGGGTGACCTGTTTCCTTATTGTAAAATGGGCAGGAAACCCTCTTTGTATCACAGATCATGTATTAAATTGGCTAGCATAAAGCCTGGCCCATGATAGGTTCCCAGTTGTTAATTATAATTATTATAAAGTACATATAATAATGCACATCAGAGCTGAGTGCAGTGGTGTGCACCCGTAGTCCCAGTTGCTTGGGAGGCTAATGTGGGAGAATCGCTTGAGTCCAGGAATTTGAGGTTGTGGTATACTGTAATATCATTGGGCCTGTATTGTGTGTATTGCCACTACACTCCGCCTGGGCTACATAGTGAGAAAAAAAAGCATCTGAACTGGGCTGGTGTTGGCCCCTGATGACATTTGGCAATGACTGGAAACATTTTTGGTTGTCACGACTGGCAGGGGCATGCTACTGCCTTTTAGTGAGTAGAGGCTAAGAATCCTGCTAAACATACTACAATGTGCAAGAACAGTCCCTCACAGCAAAGAACTACCTGACCCTGAATGTTAATCGTGCTGAGATCTAGAAACCCTGATAAGGTGAATCATCTAGGATGATGCCTGGAACACGGTAAAAGAGGCACTTAAATGTGATTCCCTTCCTCTTTCCATCACCACTCCTAGACAGACAGCAGGTTATTCCTTCAAATTCTTATTCATACTTCATATTTTGTTAGAGTGTCTCTCTCTGTCACCTAGGTTGAAGTGCAGTGGTATCATTATAGCTAACTGCAGCCTTGAACTCCTGGGCTCAAGTGATTTTCTTGCTTCAGCCTCCAATTAGCTGGGATAGACATGCACCACTTGCATGGTACCTCTTCATTGTCTTCATCTTTTATTATATAACATTTTTTTTTGAAGACAGAGTCTCGCTTTGTTGCCCAGGCTAGAGTGAGTGCCCAGGCGTTAGCCTAGCCCACAGCAACCTCAAACTCCTGGGCTCAAGCTATCCTGCCTCAGCCTCCCAAGTAGCTGGGACTACAGGCATGTGCCACTATACCCGGCTAATTTTTTGTATATATAGTTTTAGTTGCTCAATTAATTTCTTTCTATTTTTAGTAGAGACAGGGTCTCACTCAGGCTGGTTTTGAACTCCTGACCTCAAGCAATCCTCCCGTCTCGGCCTTCCAGACTGCTAGGATTACAGGTGTGAGCCACCACGCCCAGCCTATAACATGCTTTTTAATTGAAATTTTATTGATAAAATTGTATATTCAATGCATCCATTTTTGGCACTGTGCTAGGTTTTCAAAGTTTGTTGAATCCAGAAAAATTTCTTTGCTGGATTTGCAGTGAATTTTCCAATGCAAACAATGTTACAGTTATCTAGATACCACTCCACATAATATGAGTTGGTTGCACAGGTTGTAGAATTTTTCCTATCCTTTAAATACCGTGTGTCTTGCTGGGAGTAAAATTCTTCCCAAGTTCTTAAGTGGAATCACCTATTTGTAACTTGTGTACATGATAACCCAGAAGTAACACCAAGCCTGGGCTGGGTGCAGTGGCTCAAAACCTGTAATCCTAGCACTCTGGGAGGCCGAGGCCAGGTGGATCACTTTGAGCTCAGGAGTTCGAGACCAGCCTCAGCAAGAGTGAGACCCCGTCTCTACTAAAAAAAATAGAAAGAAATTAATTGGCCAACTAGAAATATATATATATAAAAAATTAGCTGGGCATGGTGGTGCATGCCTGTAGTCCCAGCTACTCAGGAGGCTGAGGCAGAAGGATTGCTTGAGCCCAGGAGTTTGAAGTTGCTGTGAACTAGGCTGATGCCATGGCACTCTAGCCCAGGCAACAGTGAGACTCTGTCTCAAAACAAAACAAAACACCAAGCCTGGAAGGAAGAGACTGATGCACAGAGAAGAAGCATCAGCAGGTGGGTGCTGGCAACATGCTAAATCCTTCATATACATTCCAGAATCTTCACTATAGTTCCATGAATTAATTTCTCTATCTTTGCAGATGATCAAACAGGTCAGAGAGGTGAACTAATGTGCCTGTGTTCACTCAGCTAGTGAGCAGTGTAGCTATTTTTGTGTGTGTGTGTACAGTCCGATTCGAAAGCCATCATAGTTCAGGCCAGGCACTTAGTGTCTAGAGGGAGTGAGCAGTAGCTACCTCTCTCTCATTTGTCGCCATGGGAGTCTCATTACTGCCCTCCCTGGTCCCTGCCTCCACTCAAGTTGGGGATAAATAAGCCTCAGACGGGTTGGATACATCTTCACTACATCTGACAGTGCCTGGCAGTCCTAGGGCCTTCCTTTCTCCATACTCTTGTGTTTCCAAGTTTGCCAGTGGCTGTCCAGATAAGTAAACCTTAGCAAGGAGATCGGCCAGGATCCCAGATCTGGCTGAACTGATTTTGAACTCTGACCTCAGAAGGGCTTCCCTCCTTCCCTTAACACATAGGTGGGAAGACATTTCAGAGTCCAAGCATTGAAACCACTCTGTCATTCTGAAAGTGACGGGAAGAGAGCAGGGTCAGAGTTTCAGGTGGAGTTGCCATGGCAACCCCAGTAGCATCCATCTGGCTTTCCCAGCTCAGGTCCCAGAGGATTTTCTAGCCCTGAGAAGGAGGAAGGGAGAGAATGTATACATTCATGCTCCCCTGTAGAGAAAGCTCCCTTCTGTAATGAATAGCCCAGAACAAACTACCCCATCGTTGATGAACATAAAGGAATTCACTGTGTGCCTCATGATGTGTGAGGGAAGGAAAATTTAACTTCCATTTCTGCCAGGTGCTTTCACAGACATCTCATGTAATCTATAACTTCTCTGTGAAGTGGACGTTATTACCCTATTATCCCATTTTGTAGATGGGGGAAATTGTGGTTAGGTAATATGTCCAAAGGCAGTGTCAGAATTTGAACCCAGGTCGGTCTCACTCCAAATACCATGCTTTACTCACTAAACCCATTGCTCATCAACTGAGAACAGCCCAAGTCGCTGCTGTTGCAGTGAGTTACAGAAAGAGCCGTCTGTGTACTGTGCGCGCGAAACAGTCATGGAAGTCCGCAAGGCAGGTGAGGGCTTATATTTGGTTCACTAGACGGGCATGGGCAGGATACGAGGTAGGTGCCGAATGAGCAGAGGTGCCGAGCCTGGAGTCCCAAGCTTGCACGGAGTGTTCGGTCTGGTCAGAAGTCCCCCTGGCTTGCAGAGAACACCCACCCAGAGCCCCATTTATCCCTTCCGGAAGGGGAAGTGGCAAGTGATGTTGGACAGGTAGGTTGAGTAGGAAAACTAAGCCTGACCAAAGTCGCGAAAATGCAAATGCTAGGAAACTCCAGGAGCCGACGAGGCCAAGGGTGTGGGGATGCTTTCCTAGAGAATATACATATTAAACGTATGCCAAAGCATACACACCTACTCGCAAAATTAGCAAGAACTGTTGCTTTAAGAAGCGCGACTCTTTAGCGTCACATGACCCTGACAGGTTCTTTACCGCACGGTTCGCATTGGCCAATTACGTAGCGGGAAGCCTACTGGAGGGCGGGAACCTCGCAAGGCGCCCAGTAATTGGTTGTGCTCGTGGAGGGCGTGGCCTGGGCTCCGAGCGAGGGAATTAGCGTGAGCTGGTGGAGTGGGAGCTGCTGCCGCCGCTGGCGTCTCGCTAGCCGCCTTCTCCGCGCCAGAGCTCTCAGGTGAGGAGGCCTTGCCTGAGTTCAGGGACTCCCTCTCCCTCTGCGGGCCGCTCACTCACCAGCCTCGGCGCCCACTCCGCGGGAGCCCGCCCCTTCGCTGACCACGTGACCCAAGTTCGGTGACCCCTGACCTTCTCTACCCCACCCCCTCTGGGTCTGGGGCGAGCGAGGTTGGGTGGGAGGATGCGCATCCCCGAGACCTGCAGAGGCCAGTTCCCACGCTTCCTTACCGGTGCGACTAGTGGCTGAGGACGCGGAGGAGAGCAGGCTGAGGAGGGGGAGACCTTAGTTAGAGTGTGGACTTTGTGAGGTCTTAATATGGGCACATAATAGGGAAACTGGCTCCGCACCTTCTGCGTGCGCAAGAGTTAATGCTTCCATTTTACAGAGCCGGAAACTGCACTTTAGCAAAATCTGTTAGCGGGTCTGGGGTCACTGAGTGGTGGGCATTGCCAACGCTGAGTCTTTAGGCTGAGATTCAGGCCTTGTTCTCCACACAGTTGGCCGCTCCTGAATGTCGTGTAGTGTGATGATCAGGAACAAGGGTTTGAGTTCCTGCTCCCTACTTGACTTAGTGCTGCTTACTGGATGATCTTGGACAAGTCATGTAACATTTAATGTCTCTGAGCTTTGAATTCCTTGCCTGTAAAATAGACAATATACGTAATTATTTATTGATGAAGATACAATGAGGTAACCCATATAAAGCACTTAGCTCAGTGCTTTAAGCATAGCGCTATTCGTTTTCAGCAAGTGTTTATTAAGGGTGTATTATGTATTGACACTGTGCTGGACACTGGGTATGCAAAAGGTGAGCAAACAGACATGGTCCCTTGCTGGCCGGGGGCTTACAGTCTCGTGGGGCAGTAGGTGTTAATCAAAAAGGTACACAAATATATAATTGCAAACTTTTATAACTGTTTCGAAGGCAGAGTATGGGGACATTAGGGGATCTGGGAAGACTTCCCTGAGCAAGTCACATTTGCACTGAGAGCTGAAGGAGCGAGTAGGAGTTCGCTGGATAAAGGGATTGGGGGTGCAGGACTAGGAGGAGAGAGCACCAAGCAGAGGAAACAGAATGTACAAAGGTCCTAAAATAAGTGTTTTTGAGGAAATGAAGGGAGGCCACAGGTGGGAATGCAGAACACAAGAGAGAGCATGGTAAGAGGTGTAAGAGGTGTCGCAGAAGTAGGCAGCATATGCAGAGCCCCTGGAGCTATTTATTCCAGAAGCAGTGGGGAGCCATTGGTAGGAATGCTGTGGAAAGACCTGGTAGGATGTCCATTGGATCTAGGGACGTGGGTCATTGTGGAGCTGGGCCTTGCTGCCGGTGGTGCTGGTGCCTCACTTTGGCATGTGTGAACCTACTTGCCAGTGGTGGTGTGCATTGTTGGAGTCAGTCGCCAGCTGCTGCTTTTGTTGGGTTCTTATTCTGCCATATTCTGTGAACAGAACAGGTTCACACATTTAGGCCTTGCAGCCAAACTGGGGAAGACCATACACATGGGCATGTGACAGTCCCAGATGGCATTTGGAACAGAAGACATCAGAGACGGGGAGGGAGCAAGCCTGAGCAAGGCCTGATGATGGGTCATAGACGAGGCTGGAAGACACTGGCTGGTTCTGTGGGGAAGAGGGCTCAGGTTCAATAGCTGAGGGGATTTGGGGCCAAATGCAGAATGTGAATTTGAACTGGGAATTTGAACTTTCTTTTTGTAAGCAGTATTGAAGATTTTTGAGCAAGGGAATGTCAGAATAAAAGTAGTGTTTTCATGAAAGTGTAGTGAATAGTGGCTATAGTAAGAATTGGAAGAAGACATAACATTTTTGTTTATAATTGACGGTGGTGACCCTTTCCGTTGGTGTACTATTCTAGTCCCTTACTTTCTCATACTTCATCTCATTTTATCCTCGCAGCAATCCTACAAGTTAGAAGGGGCAGGGATTATTAAGCTGGTTTTACAACTTAGAGCTCAGACTGATGAACGTCCTGGCCAAATTTACATAGTAAGGGACAGGGCAAGGCTGGGGCCTACCTCTGTGAACCCTAAGGTCAGGTGCTTTCTCTGGCTTCACTGTTGTCTGCCCACTGGCCAGTGTGTTTCCTTCTCTGCCCATCTGCCTCAGTTTCCTCACCTGGTGCTTAGAGCTCCTTGTTCAGGAACTCTGCAGCAAGAGCAGCAAGACTGGTTTGGAGGATCATGTGTTTTGAGTCACTCTCCTGGGAGAGATGGAGTTAGCATTTCTAACATTCCCTTCCAACTCCCAGCTCCACTGGGGCCATGTCGGAGCGAGAAGAGCGGCGCTTTGTGGAGATCCCTCGGGAGTCGGTCCGGCTCATGGCAGAGAGCACAGGCCTAGAACTGAGTGATGAGGTGGCAGCCCTGCTTGCAGAGGACGTGTGCTACCGTCTCAGGGAGGCCACACAGGTATGTTCCCTCAATCCCCAGTACCCCCAATTCTCCTTGTCCCTGCCTTTTTACCCATCTCCTCCCACACTGCTTGATTCAACAAGCATACACTGGGCACCTACTCTGTGCTTTGAGGGCATACGGTGTAGGCACTCCACGCCTTTACAGAGTTCCCCTTGTAGCCATCTGGGCTTCCAGCAAGCAAAGCGCTCGCTGGGCATCATCTCATGTACTCCTCACAGTAGCCCTGTTGGCAGGAAGAGCAGATAGATAGTCACGTTCTGCACATGAGAAACTGAGGCACAGAGCGGGGATGTGGTGTCCTCTTTGCCTTCTCCGAAGTCTGGCCCACCCCACGTAGGGGTTTCCACACCCCTACTCCCCATCCCTGACTCTGGCTTCTGTTCCTCCTTCCCAGAATAGCTCTCAGTTCATGAAGCACACCAAACGGCGGAAGCTGACAGTTGAAGACTTCAATAGGGCCCTCAGATGGAGCAGTGTGGAGGTGAGTGGGGCGCAGGCCACAGAGGGCTCAGGTGGCACGAGCCTACTCTACTCTGGATCCAGTTCAGGGCCAGTGATGTGGTGAGACATGAAGACCAGACTCATAGGCCAGGCGTGGTGCCTTACGCCTGTAATCCTAGCACTCTGGGAGGCCGAGGCGGGCAGATTGTCTGAGCTCAGGAGTTCGAGACCAGCCTGAGCAAGAGCGAGACCCCGTCTCTACTAAAAATAGAAAGAAATTAGCTGTATAACTAAAAATATATAGAAAAAATTAGCTGGGCATGGTGGCACATGCCTGTAGTCCCAGCTACTTGGAAGGCTGAGGTAGGTGGATCACTTGGGCACAGGAGTTTGAGGTTGCTGTGAACTAGGCTAATGCCACAGCACTCACTCTAGCCTGGCCACAGCAAGAGCAGGCCAGGTGCCAGGTGCTGGGCCCAGTGCACAGGGCTGTGAGTTCAGCAAAGAGGGAGAGGAGGCCCTGGAGGTTAGGGAAGTCTTTTTGGAAGAGGTGGGACTTGAGCTGGGCCTTAAAGGGTGGTGAAGAACTTGAGCTTGGCTTAAATTAGGACAAGAGGTAAAGAGGGCATTCTGAGTAAGAGAGGAGTTCAAGCAAAAATGTGGGTGTTAGGATGTCCTAGTATAGTTATTCTGAGGCAAGGAGTAAAGGGATGAAGGTCATGTTTAGAAGAGAGTAGTAAGTTTTCAAAATTGGGTGAGTGAGAATGAGGAGGACCAGCAGCTTGGAGCTGGGGCTCAGGACCCCTGCAGTTACATGAGGACTCAATGAGCCTTGGATGTTCTAGCCCTTGACTCAATGAGCCTTGGATGTTCTAGCCAAGTTCCAAATGGTGGCTCTGAGCCCCAGGCTTCCCCCATTTCTGTTGGGTCCTCTGTGCTTCTCTTAAACATAGTAAACATAGGTCCTGGTCAGTAGAGCCCCATCCTGGATTCTGGCTACCTGTTCCCTCCCTAGATTCAGGCTGCTCTCCAATCCTCTTTCTTCTTAGGCTGTGTGTGGTTATGGATCCCAGGAGGCACTGCCCCTGCGCCCTGCCAGGGAGGGTGAGCTCTACTTTCCTGAGGACCGAGAGGTGAACCTGGTGGAGCTGGCCCTGGCCACCAACATCCCCAAAGGCTGTGCTGAAACGGCTGTCAGAGGTGGCTGCCAGGGTCCTGCATGGGGTGGGGATTAGAGCTGGGCCATCAGAGGAGTGGTGATGGGATGGCTGGAGGGAAGGGCAGAACTTGGAGTAGGTGGTGCTACAAGGGCCAGAACCCCAGGCCGACACATCTCTCTGCTCTGGTTCTAGTTCATGTCTCCTACTTGGATGGCAAAGGGAACCTGGCACCTCAAGGATCAGGTAAGGGTGCTAGATGGGGTGGCTTACGCCTATAATCCTAGCACTCCGGGAAGCCAAGGCAGGAGGATTGCTTGAGGTCAGGAGTTCAGACCAGCCTGAGCCACATAGTGAGACCCCGTCTCCACAAAAAATAGAAAAATTAGCCAGGAATGGTAGTGTGTACCTGTAGTCCCAACTACTCAGGAGGCTTAGGTAGGAGGATTGCTTGAGCCCAGGAGTTTGAGGTTACAGTGAGGGCTGTGATGATGCCATGGTACTCTAACTCAGAGCAAGACTCTGTCTTAAAAAAAAAAAATTAGGATCAGGTAAGGGGTAGTGTAGGCAATGGTCCCTCTGGATGGACTTTGATCCCTTAGGTGCTGAGGGTAATGCCTCTGTGCCTCTAGGCCTGCATCTGACGAGCATTTACTAGTGCCTGCCTTGTACCATGTCCTGAGTGGACACTGGTCCCTGCCTAGAGGGCTTGGAGTTGGAGATGGGAGCCCAGACCTGTAACCAGTCATGACACGGTGTGTTAGATGCTAGAATGGAAGTCTTGGTGTCATGCCGGGGTCCCTGAGGGGAGGAGGAGGTATCTCACCTCCAGAGTATACTGAGCAGAGCTTCACAGAGCCTGAGGCTTGTGGGAATCCACGTGGCAGAGGATGGGTAGGAGCCAGTGGATAGAGCACAGAGATGTGCAGAGGCTGCATGGTTAGGGCTGAGCAGTGGGGGTCCCTGCCCTGGCTGTCCCATCGGAATAGCTCCTTGTGGATGTGGGTGGGGGGTGGCGATTGTGGGTAGCAGGCTGGGGAGGCTGGAAGAGAGCCAGCTGTCACCCCTCCCACTTCCTGCCCATCCTCTCACAGTGCCCAGTGCCGTGTCCTCCCTGACAGATGACCTTCTCAAGTACTATCAGCAGGTGACTCGGGCTGTGCTAGGGGATGATCCCCAGCTAATGAAGGTGAGCGGAGTGGGCTCAAGTTGGGGGCACAAAGTTGAACTTTTAAATTCCCATGATCTTGAACATGCCTATTTTCTGTACTCTCCAGACTGATGGACTGAGGTGAGTGGAAGCTGCTCTCAGCTGGGTGTGGTGTTCTAAGGTTAGCCCTCCTGTGGGGGGCTCAGGTGATCAGTCTCCCTACACCTTAATTCTAGAGCCCACTCTCTGGGGTTTCTACTGACTGGGGCCAAATGGAGCATCCACATTGCAGCCTTCATTTGTCTGGACTCGGGAAGGAGAGAGGGAAAATAGAGGGGCCAGGGCCAGGTGCCCAGCCAGGCTGCTTTGAGACTCCTGCTCTTCAGCTTTTTGTCCCTAGGCTTCACACCAGCCCCTGCTGCTTTAGCCTCTGGGATCCAGAGGGCCTGGCCTGCTGGATGCCACCCACAGTCAGTCCTCTCCTGTACAGAGTCAGATGAGGGCTGGTTTGGTGGTTTGCTCAATCATGTGGCTGTTCCCACGTGAGAGTTTACATGCTGCATGTCTTCACGTGTCTGGCTGCTGCTATTTCCCTTGCAAAATTAGGCACCTTGCTACCATAAGTTCCTGCCTTCAAAACTTGGCTCCTGTTCCCCAGGCACAGTGCAGGTGGCTGGCTGTGGGCCTGGAAGCTGAGCTGCTTCCTCACTAGTCTGTTGTCTGATTTCATGCCTGCTAGGCTAAAGATCTTTTTTTTTTTTTTTTTTTTTTTTTTTGAGACAGAGTCTCGCTTTCTTACCTAGGCTAGAGTGAGTGCCGTGGCGTCAGCCTAGCTCACAGCAACCTCAAACTCCTGGGCTCAAGCGATCCTCCTGCCTCAGCATCCCGAGTAGCTGGGACTACAGGCATGCGCCACCATGCTCGGCTGATTTATATATATATATATTAGTTGGCCAATTAATTTCTTTCTATTTTTATGGTAGAGACGGGGTCTCGCTCAGGCTGGTTTTGAACTCCTGACCTTGAGCAATCCACCCGCCTCAGCCTCCCACAGTGCTAGTATTACAGGCGTGAGCCACCGCGCCCATAGGCTAAAGATCTTTATCCAAAGGACTTTGGAGGGCATGGGTGGTGGAGGTTCAGGGCTTTTATTCTTTTTTTCTCCTTGTAAAAGTAATACCAGTATATGTTTATTGTAGAAGTATATATAGTATATATAAAAAGTACATATAAAGACATACAAAGTAGAAATAATCCTATTCCTCCACACCCCTTTTTTTCTGTGTATACACTATTATTAGTATAAATCTAAGTGGTATTATATTAAACATCTTGTTTTACAGCTTTTCTGAATTAAAAATATGTTGGATATTTAGATTTATTCACTTTTTTGTTATTACAGATAATGCTATGTGTGGGTATATGTACGAGTGGGTTTCTGTGGGTTAAATTTATAGAATTACTGGGCCCGGTGCAGTGGTTCACACCTGTAATCCTAGCACTCTGGGAGGCTGAGGTGGGAGGATCGCTGGAGCTCAGGAGTTCGAGACCAGCCTGAGCAAGAGTGAGACCCTGTCTCTACTATAAATAGAAAGAAATTAATTGGCCAACTAATATATATATAGAAAAAATTAGCCCGGCATGGTGGCGCATTCCTGTAGTCCCAGCTACTTGGGAGGCTGAAGCAGGAGGATTGCTTGAGCCCAGGAGTTTGAGGTTCCTGTAAGCTAGGCTGACGCCATGGCACTCTAGCCTGGGCAACAAAGTGAGACTCTGTCTCAAAAAAAAAAAAAAAAAAGTAGAAATGCTAGATCAAAGAATATGAACATTTAAAATTACAATACGTGAATACGGTGCTAAACTGCCCTCCAGAACAATGGCAGTTTATACTCAGGGCAGGTGGATCCAGTGCAGTCTGGGCCCTTCCTTGTAGGTCGCTCTCCAGGACTTGCAGACGAACTCCAAGATTGCAGCGCTCCTGCCTTACTTTGTTTATGTGGTCAGTGGGGTAAGTGACCAGGCTGGGGCAGGGAGAATGTTTTGTGGGGAGGAGTTGATACAGGAGTGTGTAGGGCTCATGGTAGGCGATGTCAGAATGGTGGGCTCCAGCCTGCCCCCTTACTAGCTTACATCCCCCTAAGCTACCTTCTTCTACCAATAGGTAAAATCTGTAAGCCATGACCTGGAGCAGCTGCACCGGCTTCTGCAGGTGGCACGGAGCCTGGTTCGGAATCCACACCTCTGCCTGGGACCCTATGTCCGCTCCCTGGTGGGCAGTGTCCTCTACTGTGTCCTGGAGCCACTGGCGGCCTCCATCAACCCCCTGAATGACCACTGGACTCTGCGGGATGGGGCTGCCCTCCTGCTCAGCCACATTTTCTGGTAGCCACTGGGCCTAGAGTGGAGCAGAGGGTGGGACTGCTGCAGAACAGAGTGGGTTGGGGTAGAGGGATGGGGTGAAGCCTCTGGCTTCTGTGTTGAGAGGATGGGGAATCTCTTCCCCTAGAGGTTCCTAGCTGGTGTCCTTGTGGGCACACTGGGATTCTAGAAATGGATTACAAGGTATCCAAGGTATTGGTTCTTCAGCCCTCACTTCCTGGGCCAGTCACCTTTGGCAGCCTCATTCATAAATCCCACCACACCCTAGTGTGCCATACAAATGCTGTTCTCTTTGTGTGCTGTGTCTTGTGCCCAGTGGGCAGTGCCAAGTCTCATTCCCCTCCCTGACTGAATATTCCTCCCACAGGACTCATGGGGACCTTGTAAGTGGCCTCTATCAGCAGATCCTGCTCTCCCTGCAGAAGGTCTTGACAGACCCTGTGCGGCCTCTCTGCTCTCACTATGGAGCTGTGGTGGGGCTACATGCTCTTGGCTGGAAGGTGAGGACCCTGGCCTTTCTCACAGAGAGCCATGAGAGCTCTTAGTTGTGTTAGAAAAATAGTATGTGTGTGTTTTTTATGATAAAAGTGATAAATGCTTTCTGCCACTATGTACTAAATTCTTGCTTTAGGCCAGGCTTAGTGATAGCTTTAATTTTTTTTTTTTTTTTTTTTGAGACAGAGTCTTGCCCTGTTGCCTGGGCTAGAGTGCCGTGGCATCAGCCTAGCTCACAGCAACCTCAAACTCCTGGGCTCAAGCAATGTTCCCACCTCAGCTTCCCAAGTCTCTGGGAATACAGGTGAGTGCCACAATGCCCAGCTATTTTTAAAAATTTTGTGGAGATATGTTCTTGCTATGTTGCACAGGTTGGCCTCCAACTTTGGGCCTCCCATGATCATACGCCTCAGCCTCCCAAAGTGTTGGGATTGTTGGCTTGAGGCCAGGATTTTGAGACTAGCCTTGACAGCACAGCAATACTCCCATCTCTACAAAAAAATTAAAAATTAGCTGGGTGTGGTGGTGCTCAGCTGTAGTGCCAGCTACTTAGGAGGCTGAGGTTAGAGTATTGCTTAAGCCCAGGAGTTCAAGGCTGCAGTCAGCTATGATTGCGCCAGTGCACTTCAGCCTGCATGACAGAGTGACTCTGTCTCTAAAATTAAAAAAAAATTACTTTGTATTGTTAGTTTTATCATTAATTTATATTGAACTTTTATCAATTGCTTTTTCCCCGCATCCTTTGAAATGATTATAAGGTTTTTCTGCTTTTGTCTGCCAATGTGATTAATTATAGATTTTCTAGTATTAATAGTAAACCATCTTTACAATTCTAGGATAAACTCAATTTGGTCATAGTATAGTCTTTTTTTCCCTATGGCTCTCTCCTACCCCTTGATCATGGTATAGTCTTAAACCGAAACTCTTTATTAGAATATAATGTTTTTTTTTTTGAGACAGAGTCTCACTTTGTTGCCCAGGCTAGAGTGAGTGCCATGGTGTCCTAGCTCACAGCAACCTCAATCTCCTGGGCTCAAGCGATCCTGCTGCTTCAGCCTCCTGAGTAGCTGGGACTACAGGCATGCGCCACCATGCCCGGCTAATTTTTTGTATATATATTTTTAGTTGGTCAATTAATTTCTTTTTTTTTTTTAGACAGAGTCTCACTTTGTTGCTCAGGCTACAGTGAATGCCGTGGCATCAGCCTAGCTTACAGCAACCTCAAATTCCTGGGCTCAAGTGATCCTTCTGCCTCAGCCTCCTGAGTAGCTGGGACTAAGTTTTTTTTTTTCTATATATATTAGTTGGCCAATTAATTTCTTTCTATTTATAGTAGAGACGTGGTCTCGTCTTGCTCAGGCTGGTCTCAAACTCCTGACCTCAAGCAATCCGCCTGCGTTGGCCTCCCAGAGAGCTAGGATTACAGGTGTGAGCCACTGCACCTGGCCAGAATTATTTAAGTTTTTATATTATTTTTGAGTCAGCAATAAGTTACATTTTTCTAGGAATTTCACAATTTTGTCAACATTTTCAAATGTTTATGCTGGGGATGAATGACCAAAGAACTCTGCCTTATCCATCAAAGCTCATCACAAATGTCATCATTTCCTCTGTGAATTCTTAATTGGTTTCCCCAAAATTAATCACAGGATTTAAAATTGTATAATTGGAGTCCAGGTCTCTGATTGGTGGTTTTTGTGCAGATGGTCTGAACTGAGTCCCAAGGTACATCTAAGTGGGGCCAGTATTTGTACTAGATAGTGGCGTGCAAACTGTAAATTTCTTTGTTGTTAGCAACAGACATTATTTAGCCCCTCTTAGCCTTTGGCACATATGACAGTGATAGTGGGGTCACTTTTGATTGTGTTTTTGTCCCCCGTCTGTATCCCTAGTGCTTACCAAAGGCTTGGGCATTCAGGAGGTTCCCAATAAATGTTGAACATGCCATCCAGGGAATTTAGGAGGATTGAGCCTTGTTTAGGATCAGAGATAAAAGTCGGTCTTTAAGGGGAAAGGGTTCTTGAGAGGCAGTAAGCAACAAAGAGGTGCTAACTGTATTCATTCTCTTTTAGGCAGTAGAACGAGTTCTGTACCCACACCTGTCCACTTACTGGACAAACCTGCAGGCTGTGCTGGATGATTATTCAGTATCTAATGCCCAGGTCAAAGCAGATGGGCACAAAGTCTATGGAGCCATTCTGGTGAGTGCCAGCCCCTTCCCTATTTGAGGTCAGCAACTCAGCGGGCTTACTTTGGAATAGTTGGTGGGCCCAGATTCCTCCCAGTTCTTGTCTATCGCAGTCCCCTGCTCTTACAGGTGGCCGTAGAGCGACTGCTGAAGATGAAGGCCCAGGCAGCAGAGCCCAACAGGAGTGGCCAAAGCGGCAGGGGGTGCCGGCGTCCGGACGACCTGCCTTGGGACAGCCTTCTCCTGCAAGAGTCCCCCTCCGGTGGCGGTGCAGAGCCAGGCTTTGGGTCTGGACTCCCGCTGCCACCAGGGGGCGCGGGGCCAGAGGATCCTTCTCCTTCGGTGACCCTGGCGGACATCTACCGGGAGCTCTACGCCTTCTTCGGTGACAGTCTGGCAACTCGCTTCGGCACAGGCCAGCCCGCCCCCACGCCCCCGCGGCCGCCCGGGGACAAGAAGGAGCCAGCCGCCGCCCCCGACTCGGTGCGGAAGATGCCCCAGCTGACCGTCAGCGCCATGGTCAGCCCGCAGGGCGACGAGAGCCCTCGAGGAGGCGGCGGCGGCCCCCCGTCGGCTTCCGCGCCCACCGCCTCTGAGAGCAGGCCGCTGCCGCGTGTGCACCGAGCGCGGGGGGCGCCCCGGCAGCAAGGTCCCGGCGCCGGCACCCGCGACGTCTTCCAGAAGAGCCGCTTCGCCCCGCGCGGCGCCCCCCACTTCCGGTTTATCATCGCCGGGCGGCAGGCCGGGAGGCGCTGCCGCGGCCGCCTTTTCCAGACTGCCTTCCCCGCGCCCTACGGGCCCAGCCCGGCCTCCCGCTACGTGCAGAAGCTGCCCATGATCGGCCGCACCGGCCGCCCCGCCCGCCGCTGGGCGCTCTCAGACTACTCGCTGTACCTGCCGCTCTGAGCGGCGCGCACCCCGCCTCTGTAAATAAAGCCCGCCCGGAAGTGACGCGCCCGCGCTCGTGAGTCGCGCCGGATGAGGCGGGGCTTGGGCGGTTGGCTCCTGCGGCGGCGCTTCCTGGTGGCTGGGGCGCCATGGCGCTGCCCTGGCTGCTGCGCGTCGAGCTCGTGCTCTTCGCTGCCGCCTTCCTATGCGGGGCCGTGGCGGCCGCGGCGCTGACCCGGACCCAGGTGCGGCTGCGGGGCGGGGCCGGCCTGGGGCCGGGCCGGGTCGGGTAGGCTGGGGGGCTGGCTGATCCTGACTTGAAGAAGCCACTACTGCTTTTTGGCCCCGCTTGCTGCTGCTAGGAGTTGTGAGGCCTGGCGGGCGCCAGCCTACAGCTGAAATGCAGTGACGTTAATCGCACTCTGGTCCGCCCGACTAGGTCATACTAAGAAGTCGTTCGCTCTCCAGAGGGACAAGTTATCAAGAATATGTCACAGCACCAGACATTCGGGCCTGGTGGCTCCTGCTGCATAGCCTTACCCTGGTTTTGAAACAGAAGTTGGCCCAGGCCCTGCCTCCATCTGTTAAATCAGAAGCCATTGTGCTTAGCTTTGCCGAGGAATAATACATAGTGAAGAGGAGATGATTGATTAAGCCACCACATGATTGCAACACAACGTGTTAAATGACAAAACAGCGATGTAGAAAACGCTTCCGTTAGGCAGAAGCCAGTAATTTACATTGAATGTTTACTCCAGCCAGCCAGTCTTGTTAATAAACACGCGTTGATTTAAGCCCCATAAAGTAAGCACTAGTATACCTATTTTGAAGATTTAACATCAGAGATAGTTGTTGAAGGTTACACAGATATGAATTTACTGTAGGATTCCTGCAGAGGGGAGACCGGATCTTGTGACATTTCTGTTAAAGCCTATTTCCTGATCCTTCTGGCCACTGCAGCTGTGTTTCCCCAATGGGCTCTCTCCTCCAATCTTCCTGTCCCCTAAGTAGGAATTTTTTTTTATTATTTTTTTTTATTTTTCTTCTTTCTTGGCATATAATACAGGACTTATCTAAGTAGGAATTGACAATGCACAAGTAACTTATCGAGTGGTCCTGGCCTAGGTTATCCCCAACACTTGCCATGAGCTTGCATCCAGAGGCACTAACCTGAAATCTAGGACTCAGCAGCTTTTCTTCACAGGGTTCCTTCAGGGGCAGCTGTCCACTGTATGGTGTGGCTGCTCTGAATGGCTCCTCCCTGGCCTTATCCCACCCATCGGCCCCATCCCTCTGCTACTTTGTAGCTGGGGCTTCTGGTCTCCTGGCCCTCTACTGCCTCCTGCTTCTGCTCTTCTGGGTCTACAGCAGCTGCATCGAGGACTCCCACAGGTGACCGCTCCACCCTGAGGGTCAAGGGCTAAGGTGGGATGTGTCCCATCTCTGCCACAAAGCTTGCTCTTTCCTCCTCACAGAGGTCCTATAGGGCTCCGCATTGCACTGGTCTTCTCAGCTATAGCCATCTTCCTGATCTTAGTGTCTGCCTGTATCCTTCGATTTGGCACCAGTTCCTTCTGCAACTCCATTGTCTCCCTGAACAATACAATTAGGTAATGACAGAGGGAGGGAAGCCTGGCTGGGTTGTCTACCGTCCTTCTGCCAAGTGGGCCCTGCAACTTCTCTTTTTATCCCCACCAGTTGCTCTAATCTTAAAGGGTACCTGGGCACAGGTGTGTATACCCCCCTTTACTCACAACTGTCTTTTTGACCTCACAGCTGCTCTGAAGCCCAGAAAATTCCATGGACACCCCCTGGAACAGCTCTGCAGTTTTACTCCAACCTACACAATGCTGAAGTGAGGCCCTGGAATATGAAAGACTGGGTGAAGACCCAGAGATACATAGATATTCATTTTAAGTATTTGTACTGTAAAGGTCCTCACCTGGGCTTGGCCTACCAGTAAGAGACTTGAGAGAAGCTTAGGGGCTTGTCAGTTTGACACCAAACAGATAAGAAAGGTGTGGGTGGGAAGGACTGGATCTGTGATGACCCCATTCCTCACACTCCTGTTCCTGTCTCCCACAGACCTCTTCTTGGGTGAATTTGGTACTGTGGTGTGTGGTCTTGGTGCTCCAGATCATGCAGTGGAAGTCTGAAGCTACCCCATACCGGCCTCTGGAGTGGGGGGACCCTGAGTGGAGCTCTGAGACAGATGCTCTCGTTGGGCCACGCCTTTCCCATTCCTGAAGAGTAACCAGAGTGCTTCTTGCAGCCAAAGACTCCGAGCCCAAGTGCCTGCAATCCTCTTGCCCCCACATTGCCCTGTTTATGCTGGGAGCCTCCATTTTCCCTCCACGAGGGAAACATGATGACAGGCCCCCCCACACCTCTCTTCCCATAGCTGTTTTTGTACCAAAATATTATATTACTTTCTTCCTCTTGGTACTGAGTTCTTGATATTAAAGCAAGTAGATGGAAGGAAGGAGGAAAGGCTAAAGAGACATGGATGGAAATTTAGATGTACTGTCAGGCAGCAGCCTTTGCATGGAATGACTGCTCCTTTATTTGTTATTAATGAGTCTTGGGCCTCCTTGCATGAGCCAGGTTGTCACGTCATCCTAAGGTTTAGTTTCTGTCCCCCTCTGGGAGAGGCAAGTGACCTGAGGTGGTTTCTTCACAAGCTCCGGTAGGCACCCACAGTATTGTCAAAGAGTTTGGTGTTGGGGAAGTATCCAGCTTTGTCCAGGAGGAAATAGAAGCGCCGGCCTTTGATCTTCAGAGGCAACATGGCAGGGACTTCACCCCGGTGGGCCATGCATGATACCTGGTTCAAGGGAACAGTGAAATGGGCCCCCAAGCCAAAAGGGGCATGAGTGGTGAGGGTCACCTGCTGTCCTCCAGCTCGAAGCATCACTGAGCGCACAGAACGAAGGGAGAAGAGAAGACTGGCACCAACTACCAGGGCTCCTGCAGGAAGAGCAAAGTTTGGGGTGTGGGGTTCTCACTGGAGGGCTAAGCACCTTCCAGTGCCCCTGAATAAAAGAAATTGTGTTGACAGTTAACATATACTGAGCTCTTCTCACACCCCAGAATCTTTAGTTACTCCTCTCCACAACCTTAACAGACATCCAGGCTGCAGAGTGTGGGGCAGACCTTAGCCAAGAACTGGGTAGGGCAGGACATTCGAGGCCTTCAGAACTCCAAAGTATGGGGGTAGCCCTCCCGCCACTACTGCTCGTTTGAGACAGGAAGCCCCTTATTCCTCGAGTAGGCAGAGTCGCACCCAGCCATCCCACGCCTTACCGATGGCGCCGCAGCCGACTGCCAGCCCGTAGCGCCAGAGCACGGAGCGCAGGTCGAAGGGGCCACCATCCGGGGCCTCCGCGTCCAGAGGCTGCACAGGGACCGGGGGCCGGGACAACGTTGCCACGGCCAGGGAGGCCCAGAAGACGCCCTGGCTGGCGCAGAAAAGCCCGAGGACTGCGAAGCGGCGGCCCCGTTCATGCTTGAACAGCAGCACGTCCTGTGGCGGGGTCGCGTCGTACAAGAACCGGCGCGTGAGCAGGGGCCGCAGCGCGACCGTCAGCCCCGCGGGCCAGCGGAGCCACACCGCCGCCATGCCCCGCGCCAGCCCACTTCCGGGGCGGGACTTCCTGCGCCGCTTGCCCGCCCCTCAGGCTCACCCGCTGGGCGGAGCCCGCCCTCCGGCTCTGGCTGGCCCGAGGAGAAAAGATCCAGTACGCATGACACGAAATACAAGGTCACTCTTTATCTTAAAAAGTAAGGGGGATCCTGGGGTTAAGTACACAAAGCACCTAAGTCCTTCGGGTAGTTTAGTGTCAGTTCTACAAAGTAAGCTTTGGCTTCCTGGCACCAGTGAGGCTCAATCTTCTGGAAGTCTTCCAGAAGGCAGGTGAGGAGAGGGGTCCAGCAGCTCTCCCTCCTCAGTCACAGTCACAGGGTGGCCTCAGGCCGGACAGGGGCGACAGAGATGATAACGAGACAATAATATCCAAGGGCTATTTACAGGAGGGCTTCTTCTGAGACAGGACTGTGGATCACTTCATGAATGCCACTTCTGGGATCTCGCCCTTGGCCTGGAGAAAATGAAAGGTCAGTAGAGGCAGGAAATCCCCAAAACTTACTCTACCCTGTTGAAGGAACCGAAAGCCCAGTCTCTTTTCCACTGTATTCTCAAACCTTACCTTTAGATGAGTGAAGACCCGGGCAGATCTGGTATAGTCCCAGTTGTTGTCCTGAAGGCACCTGGAGTGGGGGAACAACAGGTAGCTCCGTGAAAACCATCCACTAAATGCCACTTCAAAATCCATTCTATAGAAACACTCACCAGATTTGCCAACAATTATATACATTCTCATACATCCTTGCACTATTTATACAAATGAAAAATTAGTAAAAGTCCAATTGTCCACCAATAGTCTGTCAAATATAAGGAATATTAAATAGCTGTCAAGATCAGTTTTTTTATACTGGTAGGGAAAGACACTCATAGTATATAGCAAAGAAACTAAGTTGCAGGGCAGTATATAAAAAGGAATTTCAGGCAGGATTGCTTGAGGCCAGGAGTTCTAGCTCAGCCTGAGCAACATGGTGAAACCCCCACCCCCCACCCTTTTCTACAAAATTGGCTGGGTGTGGTGGCAGCACATGCCTATGCTCCCAGCTACTTGGGAATTTGAAGTTGCTATTAGCTATGACTGCTCCACTGTACTCTAGCCTGAGCAAGAGAGCAAGCCCCACGGCCGGGCGTGATGGCTCACGCCTGTAATCCTAGCACTTTGGGAGGCCGAGGCGGGCAGATTGCTCAAAGTCAGGAGTTCGAAACCAACCTGAGCGAGACCCCGTCTCTACCAAAAATAGAAATAAATTAATTGACCAACTAAAAATATATATACAAAAAATTAGCCGGGCATGGTGGCACATGCCTGTAGTCCCAGCTACTCGGGAGGCTGAGGCAGTAGGATCGCTGAGCCCCAGAGATTGAGGTTGCTGTGAGCCATGCTGATGCCACAACACTCACTCTAGCCTGGGCAACAAAGTGAGACCCTGTCTCAAAAAATAAAAAGGAACTTCATTCTGGCTTTAAAATTTTTTATGCTAATTTATGCATAGGGTAAATTTTCTACAGACTATTTTTTTTAAGCAACAAAAAAAAGTTTTGGCTTTTAAAATTTCAGCACTCAATTATTCACTACCTGCCCCACCTCAGTTCATCCCTGTCCTACACATGCCCAGCACTCACTTCTGGGACCACTCAAGGTTCATGCCAGACTGGGTAGAGAATGCCTGCAACATTTCCTGCTGCTCCGGGGAGAGGGTGGGCACTGGGCTGGAAGAAGGCGTGGGTGCAGGCATGGCGAAGGCTCTTTGGATCTCTTCAGAGCTGGCATTCCGCACAAAGAGCTCATCGTTTACGATACATAGCCTTGGGGACAAAGAGCACCTTAAACAGCTGGACAGACAGATGACTTCATCCTCCAAACGTCATTCCTATCCTCACTGAAACCTGATACTCAGATTCTTTCAATACTCACAATCCCCTTTCTACTCTTAGCTATTGCCTTTTATCATTTACCCCCTCCAATGGACTCCATGTTTAGAAGGATTATCTACCAAACACGTTAGAATTATACATGCTCCCCCAACCCATGGACAGTTCTTAGCCCTTTTATCTTTTATTTGTTTTTATTTTCACAACCAACTTCGGAAGTGAATATTGTAATACAAATTTTCAGATGAGGAAACTTGTGTGCAGCTAGAAGGGGTGGAGCCAGGATGAAAACCCAGACAGTCCAACTCCAGAGCCAAGCTCTGAACTACTATGTGAGCCTCCTCCTCTGAATTCCCACTGCCTTTGTGAAAGTGCCCTGAGGACTAACTCTACCCTCCAGTTACCATACTGCTGGCCATGGCCTGGGACTCAACATGGTAAGCAGAACACTAACCCTGAATTGCTGGCAGGAACAGCAATGAATGTCCGGGTAAAGGCTCGCAGAGAATCCCGAGACTTTCCATCTACTGCAATGAGAACAACAGAAGTGACCCCTTAGAGTTGCTCGTGTTTTATGTTTACAAACAGCTTCTTGAATCATGGTCTTCTTTGATAAAAAGAACCCTAGTGGGTCAGACAGGGAAGATTATGTTTGTAAGAGGAGCAGAGTTGGGTGAACGGTCAGGTCAGGAGGGACGATAATAGTTAACAACTACTGACTCACTGATAGAGCATTTGTGTGCCAGGCCCTGGGTCAAGCATTTTATAAGTCACTTCATTTACTTCCTCCAGCACCACTATGAGATGGCTATTACTAATCTGATGTTGCAAATAAAGAATCTGAGGCTCAGAGGTAGTGTAACTTGCCCATAGACCCACAGAACCAAGACTGAGATAGAAATTTGGGCCTGCCTGACTTCAAAGTCTGTGTCCTCCTAATCACCAGGCTTTTCCCACATCCCAGACAAGACAGAGGGTAGGCCAAACCAAGGTAGCATGGAGGCAGGATGAAAGAAGGTGCTCAGGAAAAGGGAGGAGAAGGTAGCTGGGAAGCTAAACATGCTAAGAAAGATTCTAGCTGGGGGAGGGACCACACAAACTCAGGACTCAAGACATTCTCACCTTCCTTGAAGACCCCGTTGACAGAAAAACACAGCAGTGTGCTCTGAAAAGAGAAGTGACATCAGGTACAATGTAGGTTTACTAGCCAGAGCCTGAGCCTCCCTTCCATTTTAAATGCGACCCTGTACCCCAATTCTAGGCTTTTCTTTTTTTTATTCAGTCCCTGTAGGGACCATCAAAAAATGCCAATGCCAACTCTATTACAAGTCGTCACAGCAGGGTGTTGTGAAGTTTTCCAATTAGCAATAATTGCTAATTGATAAACCTCATTGGCTACGATACTGCCACTGCACAAAGCTGATTCGAGGCTTCTGTCAGAGCAGAAATAGGTGCTTACTGTCTGGGCGCTTATGTCTACCACGAAGGAATTGATGTCATGTTGGGTTTTGGGTAATTCATTGAGGAAGGCAACAACGTTGAGACGTGTGTGCTTCAGCAGCCGGAACCGCAGGGCTGTGGGCAGAGGAGAAAGCAAGGTAGGGTCTGCCACACTCCTGAGTGCTATGACCGATTCCTTCCCATGCCCTTCTCCCACCGTATTTTGCTCACATCACACACTTACTAGGGTCTTTAAGCTTCTTCACATTTCTGCTGTCCTTGAAGTATTCGGCCAAGTTGCTTCTGGGGGAATAAGAAGAAAAGGAGGTGGTGGTCAGAGAAGTGTGGCTGCTAGGAGGTGCTGGCCTGTATCTGCTGGGAAACCCTGTGGTCCTGGGCAGGTTCTGGGATGTGATACACACCGGGCAGGATTCTGGGGTATGAAAGGAATGCTCAGGGAACAGCAGGCCCCGTCATGGTAGGCATCCAGGAGCCCCTGCCGGTCTCCAGAGTCATAAATTGCATAGTACCTGGGGGGAGAACAAAAGGGAAAGTCTTAGTTCTGCAGTCTGGAGCCATAAAGGCACCCAGTAGCTTCCAAGATGAGCTGTGCCTGGACCAGCCCACCTCTTCCCAGCCTGAGGTGCCCTGGGATACTTACTGCTGCAGGAAGTGCAGGACCAGACTCTTAAGGTTCTCTGTTCCAAAATAGCTTCCCTGGAATCAAACAGGTATTAGGACCATGAAAGCAGTACCTTCCGACACACAAGTTCTAACTGTGTCCCCCTTCTCACCTTGCAGGGTGGTAACATTGTGGGGGCTTCAACATCAAAGGCAATTGGTGGGGGTAACTCATGCCCGTCCTATGGAAAGGAAGTGAAAACTGATGGTGTAAACCAGAGAAAAAAAAGACTGGATGTGTAAGTAGACTGAAGATCTAAAAATGAAAGGTCAGAAGTCAAGTGTAAAAGAGGTGTGAAAAGTGTCTTTTGCCTACAAGCATTTTTCTGGGAAGACAGATTATAGCCTTTATCAGATTCTCAAAGGGATCCATGTCCCCAAGTTAATGGTCACATAAAAATATGTTAGGCAAGACTTGGAGAGTGGAAGATGCTATGGTTGTTAGAAGAGAATGAAAATGTCACGGACTTACCAGGCGTAATAACTTGGGAAATCGTTCTCGAATGGCGCTGTCAAGAACGGGACAGGAGTGAGTGATGCTTCAGAGCCACCGTGCCTCCTGGGCTGCTCTAGAGCAAATATACTAACACCCGAGGGACAGCCCATCCCATCCTGCTCATCCCTCCACTCCTCCCCAGCCTGTGCTCAGAGAAAAATGGCCCCCACTCCCCACCTTACCCGGGGCACCCAGACATGGACTGCCTTGAAGGCTGACTGTCTCTTTTCTCTCTTCCTGACCCCAAGTGCTGCAAGGAGCAGCACTCTCAGCCCAGGCTTTAAGCCTAGGAACTCCTCCCCTCCCTGCCCCCCTTACCTTCCACCTACTCACCTGTACAGCCCCGGGAGGAGGGAATGGGGTGGGAGCCCAGGGGCTCCGCTGCCTCACCAGGTATCCATCTGTTCTGCCAGGTCTGGCCTTGGCCAAGACCAGAACACACCACAGGGATGGCACAGGATGTTGGGGCAGGGAGATGAGCAAGGTGGGGCTTAGGAAGAGGAGAAGCAAAAGAAGAAGAGAGGAAAGG